GGGTGCCCATACTCCAAGCAGTGAGAGGCACGGAGAGCGGCCTTGAGCCCTCTGCAGAGACAGCGCTTCCCATGGTGGGGACTGACAGAGAGCAGGAAGCCAGGAGGGGCGCCGCAGGCAGGCGAGGGTCCCACTGGCCCTGGCGGGTGCCCCTGGTCCTGAAGGAGAGGATGCATCCTGGGACTTTGTGCCCACTGCAGCTCTTCAGCTCAGATTTTCCATCAGGCCCCAGAAGAACCATCTGGGGACCGCACAGAGACATCTGGGGAGATGAAGGGTGCCAACCGGACAAGCTTTACCCTTCAGACCAAAAAGAAAAATCCCCTTGGAGGCCTAAACTATTTGGAAATAAAGTTAGAAATATAAGCCAGTCCCAGATCTTCGAACACCCCAAGAAGACACGTGGATCATTTTCTGTAGATAGAAGGAACCCTTAAAAGATAAGCTCTTCTTGTCATGGGTGTCGAGGCTTGATGGCTTTTGCCTGAAACATCTGTATACCTAGGACAAAATAATTATTTTGAGATGAACTCTCTGGATAATTGTCTGATGGAAACCCCTGATGACATTTCATCGCTAATGTTCTCTGCTTTCCTTGACCAGTGTCTCTTGCGTGTGTTTCAAACAGTTGGTGGTAAATTTCTGCACTGGAAGTATTTTTCAAGCCTCTCAGAGGACCCACTTGATGTGGGATGTCAAGCTCAAGAGAGAAGCCATTTTAAAATCAGAAGAAAAAGTCACAATGGCTTGTGGCACTCCGTGCACATCTGCAAAGAGTGCATGCTGAGTGCCACCATTGCCGTCCGCACAGGGCTCTATTTTTCTATTAATAGATTAATTAATCTATTAATTCTTCTGCCAATTCCTCTGCTCCTACCCTATCCAGCAAAAGTTGAATATCTTTTTTCCAAGTGGCAGAGCAAACAAAAGCAGCCTCTATGGTCTTCTGATAATTGAGCCACATTTGAATCTTCAACTGGAAACATCTCTCCACACTGAAGAAAACCTGCAGGAGAAATCAAGCAGAAATGCCTCTTAATCAGAAGGTTCCTTGCATATCAGGAGGCTCGGAAAGGTAAGGCCCCCCGTTGTCCCCATGGAAAAGCATCAGTGCTTCTGCTCATCTGGGACTGGCCAGCCCACTTCGTTCCAGTGTGTGACTTGGAGGCCTCCAACCTACCAACACTGGCATATCAGCTTCCCTGCGAACTTAGGGACTGAGGGTGGCCCTGAGCCTGTGTTTCTAGCCTCAGAATGTGGGACAACGGTGGGGCGCTTTCTGCATGGAATAATGCTATATGACGACTTGTTAAACAGAGAGAGAGAGAGAAAAGGAATCATTGGGAATAAAAACACCACAATCTCATGGCCTCAACACCAAACTGGTGCCGAGCCGATTTCTCCCCAAACGCACGGTGATGTTTCCGAATTCACTTTGGCTGTCACTGAAGCCCCTGCTTTTTCCCGGTGACCGTGGGAGGCTCCGATGGGGGTGGGGAGAGGGTTGGGGGTCGGGGGAAGAGTTCTGGGCACTAAGTTCCATCCTGGTTTCACATAAAGGAAGCAAAATCAAAACCCAAGCCTGGAAAAAAAAAAAAAAAAACCTAAATTTAATTGGCTAGGATGGCTAGGAAATAGGATTCCTGGGGGCCACGCTTTCTCAGCTCCCAAGAAGGATTTAGGTATGGCACTTCCCCGCCCTCAGGATGAAATAAAAGGATTAAACTCGGGTTTGGTCTGGCCAGTACAAATTGCATGCAGGGTATACATTCGTTTTGCATATTGCATGTGCTTTCATGGAGGGGGAAAGGAGGGAGGGAGGGAGGGCGGGCAGGATACTGCCGAGGGGAAAAACTAAAACAACTTGCTGTTTTCATATGGTGGGATAAAACTGTTTTGTCTCCGTAACTGTGTAGAATGTGAATGGTGGGCACCGTGTCGTGACAAGATTTTTTTTTTTAAATTAAGCTAAGCTCACACCGAGCTGTAGCCCCCAGAGGTACTGCAGCCTTAATTGTGTTCAGTATGATCTACCGAACAATATGGCTTGATAAATCTGAATGGCAATCCAGCGCGCGGTTCCCCTTGGCATTGCTGCAAAGCCAGGCTTCGCTTTAGTGAACCCGTTCAGGAATGTGGGTTAATTCGCCGACCCTTTTTACCCCCACAGCTCTGTTTTTGTGAGGTTGGCAGAAACTGACACGTTTTCTTTTCCTTAATTAGGTTGTTCAGTGGAAGGCTGGTCAAACAGTTGCATCTACGTGGGGAGTCTGCAGAGACACAGAAAGCCGTGGGCGTTTCCAACATAAAAAGGGGGATTCTGTTATTGTTTGGGTGTAGACGGGTCATTTTTTCAAAGTTACTGCTGCCTGAGTGACCACAACCCTGCACACAGCCCTGAAAAGACATGAAAGCTGCTTAAATACAACTACCTTGGGTTCTAAGGTTTATTTTTAAAAGAGAGAGAGAGCCAGGGAGAAATGAAATGGTCTCATGTATGTGGCATTTTATTTCTTTCTGGCCTTTTTTATTTTTTTAAGGCAAACAGTGGGCTCATTTAAATAAGAGATGCCCGTACATTATGAATCACTGCTGGTATGATGAAATCCTCTTTCCAATCAGTAAAACAAGATCGGTGCCCATGGAGCTTGCCTTGGCGCTGGCTTTCTGGGCAGAGAAGGAGGATCTAGTCACCTTTGTGCTAGGCACTGGGGCTGGAAACATCCACCGGCAACTGGCCAGCTGACGAAATTCCAACTTTCGTTCCATGCTGATGTTATGACGACCTCAAACAGTATCAGTCTCTTGGATATTCGGAGATCTGAGGGCCTGATCAGAGGCCTCCCTCATAACGTCTCCATCCCTTCTTGAAGCTTCCTTTATTCTAATTTAAGACACCTTTATCTTTCACACGGTTATCTCCCTGGGTTCTGTGGATATTTGGTCCCACCAAGAGTTTTCCTTATTGCACAAACTGTGTGACATAATTGACAGGAGGCCTGTGGATGGGCTTGAAGCAGGCTTTGGGGACCTCTTGTTAACGACGAGCTGATCTACTGTATGACGCTGAGCGAGTTCCCATCAATGCGTTTGTGCCTCAGTTTCTCCATCAGGGAAGATGCCCAATGCTGGGTACTTAGCAGGTACCCAATATACCTTTCTGGGCTTAGCTTGCCCTCTTTCTCCCTCTGAATAAATCGATATCTGGAAAACCACTACCCCACAAGCCCTTGGCACCATCATGGTGCTGATATCAATGCCCAGATGTTCACCAGTTATTAACCTCTGGTCCTAGTCAATCTGTCGGGCCCCTTGGAGATGCATCGGGGTTTCGATCGAGGCTGCTCAGGAGATGTCCGCACATACTCGGTCTCAACACAGAGAGCCCGCACTCCCATTTTCCACCAGGTCTCAGAACAGCAGCTTTGGGGAAGCCTAAAGATATGCTTTTTCCCTCTAAAGAGGGAAAAAAGTGGATGGTCAAATATCGTAAGTCTTTCAAAAGACTGTGACTTTTCATTTCTCTTCATGTACAAGAAAGAATGGCAATTATTTGATTGCGTGAATTGCGAAATGATTCTTCGGGAAAAGAAAATCCACTTTGGAGTCTAAGTTACTTGGATCAGCAGTCTACACTGACTCACTTGTTCATTACGAGTGATGCCTGCTTACTCCCCAGATGTTGCCAGAGTCGGTTATGGAACTGACACCCAGGACATGGTGGTCCTATATCTAGGTTGTGCATATTCAGGTGCCCAAAAATATACAAGAGGACGCCCATATTTCAAAGTCCTTCCAACCTATAGATAGAGAGGGTGGGGGCATTTAGAAGTCTGGTTTGTGCAATACCTCCCAAAATGACCCATTCTTCTGGAAAACCAAACCTCAGGTGCAGAAAAAAACACAAAATGCTTTCCCCAGGTCTGGGAGCCGAGGTTTAAGGACCGCATAGAACATTGCTCTTCTGTATCCCTGCCTTACTCCTCCTCAGCAACGGCTCAAGGAAGGTCCCAGAACCCAGGGCTTTTCCGCCAGCCATGAGTTGTGGGGCCGTGCTGGTTGGGCCACTTGCCTTACGGTCAAAAAGGCCAAATTCGAAACTACACAGTCCCACACATAACTTTTCAGTAACAGCCGACTGGCTGGTCCCAGCATCTCTTAAAGAGAGGGGTTGTCAGAGGCCAGCGGAGGCCTGAGCAGATGGGAGCCGAGATGGCCGGCCGGCAAGTGGATGCCAGAGTCACGCCGCCTGGCAGTGTTCCCACAGTCTGGAGGTGGTGTGTGTGGCTGGCAATTCGGTTCCCACTCGAGGTGGCAGGCTCTCTCCCCCTTTCCAATTCCCTGACAGCTCGGGCAGATTTTTCTCTGGCTTTTTAAAATCCAGGACACACTGTGGCTCAAAGTCGCCAAGCTCCAGCTGCTGGAGAGAGCTGGCCTTTCACTCTGTTGCCCCACCACCAACATTATGTCTTTACACCCCGGGAAACAGAAGGCCTTGCTCGATGCAGGCAAGCCCACAGGAGTTAGGATGCTGCCACTAGGGTCCTGGAGACAGAAAGGAGGACTCATAAGGGCTGGCCAGGAGCCATCCCACTATCCCTGGCACTTGCAGTTCCACGTGGAGCTCTGCGGCTCTTCAGGACAAAGAGGAGCGTTTTTATCAGCCCAACATTCTGCTGACAAATGCATAATCAACTGACAGTAATCGACCGAGCAACATTTCAAAACCCCCCAGTTACGGGGAGGCCGAGCCAGAGCGGAGATGGTCACTTTCTGCAGGTGTTCGGCCAGTGTCCCCACATTTGCATGCATTTGCATATACTGTCAAACAGTTGGCTGACAGAAAGTCTGAGGAGGTCTGGACACAGCCCAAACCTGTCAGTGGCTTTCTCCTTGCCAGTCAAGGTTGGCTTCGGCTGCAATTAAAGCAGGAAACGAATACTTCTGACATTGCAATATACCCAGCCACAGCTGGGCGAAGTTAAACGGAAGAGTGTGGTTCATTTAGAAAAGACAAGATGCAGGCTGGGGGAAAAAAAAAAAAGAAACAGAAGCAAAGAGTGATAAATGCTCAGAAAGTGACACTCGAAATGCATGCTTCCAAGGGAGAGAAATAGTCTGTAATCTTTCCGTGTTGCCGGGCTGTGTTGTTTGTTGTTGTTGTTTGGGGTGAGTGAGCAGACGCCCCCCCGCCGGGAGCCAATTCAGCGTGTGAAAGGGGCTTGCCCGACACTGCACCTTCTATCTTCAGGCAGGACGAATAATCTCAGGCAGAAGGGAAGAAACAAATCCTGAAGCGGCATTTCCGTGGGACGTTCTCTCCCCTGTAAGGCTGCACTGTGCTGCTCGGGGCCTCGGAGCGGGTGAGAAAGTCGGAGGAGGTCCAGCACAGGCGTCATGTTGTTCCCTCATCTTTCTGCATGGGGAGGATTACAGATCATATTAGCATATGGATTGCGGTGGGAAAGAAAGGAAAATCAGAGCCTTCGCTACTGTAAGTGTAGATGGGGGCAGGGAAGGAGGAGAACCCAAGAAACGTGGCGATGGGGCGGTTTTTCAGAACACATGAGATTTATATTTGGGGAGGCCTGCCTCCTTCTGAGATGTTGTTTCACAGATTAAGCGAGACCTAACAATTTATTAAATACTTCATCTCTAAACAGTGGTGGGCACTAGAGTTTCATGAGCAGCAGACAATAGATTCTGTTTATTCGCCCACAATACAGACACTGTTTAGCTCCGGACTGCAAGTGGCTGAGCCATCTGGCTCATATCTCCACAGTAAAACATTGTCTGTGACACAAAAAATGACTACATCCCCAGGACAAACTAGTGTGACCTCTAAATAAAGCCTTCCTCTGAAGCTATGATATCACACTGCCCAGGGGACACCAGCACAATTGAATCTGGTCACCAAAAGCCCAAGTGAGATCGGACTATGTAAATGGAATTTTATAGGAGACGTTTTGTCCTCCGTGGCAAACCATGCAGAGCCATCCACAGCCCTGAAACATCTTTTTCATTCACCCTTGGGACAACAGTGCAGTTCTATTTGGGGATTGGCAGTCCTCTTTCTGCAGCGCCCGACCCAGGAAGCCCACGTCCGTGTCCAGGGGCAGCACCTGCAGCCATCGCTTCCAACAACATTTCACTGATGGGGGCCCCACCTGCGCCAGCCTTTTTTCCGATATTTCGGAAACAAGCGGGCCTTTCTCCTCCCTGCCAGGGAGAAGGCCCGTGTTTGCCAGCTTCTTCACAAATAGCCCAACAAGTCACTCACAGCATTGCGCCACCTGAATGCCCGCTTCACTAGGCAAACAAGTGCACACACACACACACACACACTCCCTCCCCATCACCCCATCCAAGAAAGGGGCTGTTTCAATGGAAGAAGTGTCATTCTCCGGAAAAGACCCAGTTCAGTCTCCACAACCAAGAGTGTTGCTGTTTGGTGGGAAAATTTCATTAGAGAAATTGAGACATGGTGAAGAACAGACCCAAAAGCTGGCTTGGCTTAAGCATTCCACCTGTTCTAACTCCTATTTTTTTTTTTTTCATGAAAGAAACCCTGATCCACTCTTGTTCATGAAACATTTTGCACATAGACTGCCTCACAAAATAAGGTCTGTAAATGCTTCCCAAAGCAAGGAGGCGTTTGATCCCTTTGCAGCAAGACCCACCTGTGGGATGACTCGTAACACAGTGATGGGAACACCACGTTTGGGAATAAACGGAGGAGGGTTGAATTCCCATGTGAAGATTTACCAGCCCCATCGTTTTAGGCAAATCACTTAACCTCTCAGTTTCTAGCCTCATTTGTAAAAAGGGACATTTTCTTTTTCACAGGAATTTGGAAAATATATGACAAACACTTAACATAATGCCTGGCGTACGGTAAGGGTTATTCCATAAATAGTAGCTATAACAATAATGACAATGGCTAATGGTAACATTGCTCCTATGGCTCCTGGTTAGTTTCAGTAGGAAAACAGCTTCCAGGGTACCAGGCATCCATCGAAATGCACATTGACCCTTGATAATAGTAGCATTTATTATTATCATTATTATTTTACATAAGCCCAAATAATTCGGCAAAATTAGACTGTCTACCATACTACTAGTTGGCTTGCTCTCTAGCTTATCTCATGCTAGCATTTTCTTCACGCAGCATGAAACCGGCCAAAATTGTATATTAAGTTATTCTTGTGACAATCATAAAAAAAACAATGAGAAACCACATGCACAATAGCCATATGTTAGGTGTAAAGTCATTGATACTGGCCTGATATGTTAAAATGATTTTATTTACTTTTGCTCCACTTTCAATCATTCCCAAGATTTTAATTGCTTGCAATTAAGAGTAATGTCTGCACTTATGACAGGTTCACTTCTTGAAATGAAGCCATTTGGTTGAAATTATGAATGCTGAGTTTTCTCAAAAAGTCAGTTAGTCGAGAGGACGTAATCCAGACCCAGAGCCTAGGGAAGAACAATTCTTCATAAAAATGACCACAAATGCCATACTTAACCAACTATACATTGAGCTCTGGACCCTTTACAGTCCAAATTTTGTAACAGGTAGGTAAAGCCATTTAGCAGGACATGATTAAAATAAGTTCAACTATCATTCATATGACTCCTTCTGACATTTTCAGTAGAAATTTAACGTGTTCCCAGCACATGCAAAGCTAATGGAAGTTTCCACATGGAAAACCTTCCAGACTTTATATCTTTGGAAATACGTAAAATATGCAGTACATATGCACAAATCTCCACCTCTGCTTGGCTAGGGTTTTGTTTTATTTTTAATGCTTAAATGTGGAAGCTATGGTTCAGGTAACATTATTCCCATGAATCTTGGTTAATTTTAGTAGGAAACCTGCTCCCAGAGTAACAACCATCCGTGCAAATGAACGCCGACTTGGGAGCCAGGACCCATAACAAGTCAAGCTAAGGGCAAACAGGGATGTACTTAAACTTAGAAAGATACCTTTGGGATGGGAGCATGGGGTCACATCCTCTCCAATACTGCTGGTGGCAGTGTGGGTTGGAACAAGCTTTTTCGAGAGTGATTTGGAGTCTCTACCAACACGTAGAATGTCTATACCCTCTGCCCCAGAAATTCCACTTCTGGGACTATATCCTATTGAACTACTCCCTCAAGTGTGTGAGAACCTATGTTCAAGGCGTTTGATTATAATATTATTTGCAAAAGTGAAAAATTGGAGATAACCAAAATATCCACCCATAGGGACCAACTGAACAACTTACAGCACACCCGATGGAAAGAATGGCGGGGGGCCCTATGCGTAGCACGCTTTACACCTATATCTGTATCTACGTCTAACGATACAGACAATTACCTAGAGGATTGCACATCAACCCATTCAGAAGGTGGAAAGTGGGGGACTTTTCACTTTTACAGCATGCCTTTTGTTACTACTCACATTTTTAAACCAAAAACACATAATCCTTTTGTACTGCCAAAAGTAATACAAATAAAAAGTATGCTTCCCAGTAATGGTTCACTGTCAGCGGCTGATGCTCCTTGGTGGGAGGACATCAACCTCGTAAGGGAGAGTTGGCCAGCTAAACTTCCTGGACACCCGCTGTGAGAAGGAGGTCCATGCCAAAGGCTGAAGGAGTTACAGCCAAAGAGAAAAAGTAAGCCCTTTCCCTAAGAACTTCCTGGGCATAATAAGTCTGTGGCTAAAAAAATATAATATGAAGGATGATTTGACTAACCCCAGCTGTGGGGTTGTTGTGGTCTGTGGTTATTTATTGTGGATTCTGTGACAACACAGGTCATGTCATGTCATACTCAAGAGCCCAGACGCTGGGGTCAGAATATGGTCAGCTCTGCCACCCACTAGCTGTGGGACTTCGGTAAGCCACTTAGTGGCTCTGGGCCTCAGTTTCCTTCTCTGCAAAATGGGGATAATTGTATGATCTACCTCACAAGGTTAATGTAAAGCACTTACTGCAGAGCCTAGCATATATCATTACTAGGTGCGTGCTGTGAATTCAAGGGCCATTAACCTAGCTATCAGTGTTATTATTATTATTATTATTATTACAACCAATTTGGTTCCACCCACTGCCCTTCACACAGAAGGAACAATGTGATACAGTCTACATTTCTGAGGATACGCTAACCCACCATTAGTTAGTCATGAGGTTTAAGTTACTCCACCAACAAGATTTTGTCCCTTCCCAGCTACTCCGCCAACAAGGCAGTTTGTCCCTAACCAGCTATATGCTTTGCCCACATCCCTGATCATCGCTTTCACTGTGGAAGACTGAACAAAGGCAGGCTCCCTTGTACATGCTGTGACAGAAATAGGCAGTTGTCTAACCAAGATGTCATTAGATCTACAGAAAAAAAATACCTCCCCTGCCTATGGCCAGGCTCCCAGGTGCCCCTGACCCATGGATGGGTTCTCCTGCAAAGGACACAGGTTTCCCCTCCAAGGAGCAGCTTGTGGCAGAGCTGGAGCTGGTCTCAGTGATCAGACCTCCCCTCTTCCGACCTCCCCTCTTCCAGGTTGTGCTTTTGAGTCCTAAGAAGCCTGTCAGGACTTCTCAAATCCACCCCCTGTCCCTGAGGTGGGTATTAGGCAGGAGAATGTCTGGAACAGAAACTCGCTCCAGTCACCTGGAGGAGAAGGGGACTCAGAGTCTGGAGACATTGAGGCACAGACACAGGAAGGTGGAGGCCCCAGGCAGCCACTCTGCCTTCCCCTCATGGTGTTTCTAGGTCTTTCTGGGAACCCACTCCACACTCGTGCTTCCCTCCTAAAACTCACACATGACCCTCACTGGCCACCAAACCCTGAGCCCCACATGCCCTTTTTGCTGCTTCATCTGCCTTCACTTGGCTAACTTACTCTTCCAATTCCAGTCCCCCTGACATCAATCAGAGGGTCCCACTCATCTTTTGCAGCTAGAAAAACTAGTTAGAAATTAGGGGCACAGGTCAGAGGGTGTAGACAGTGGCCATTTAATCCCATTACAGGGTTGTGAGTGGACAGGCAATGACTGACACCTCTTGTAACCAATAAGACCTAGGAGAAAGACTCTTCTCCCTTCTAATTGGTCAGTACTGCTTCTGGAGCCCAGAACTGACTAGAAGCTGTTCTCCCATTAACAGGTGCAGGGGGCCCATAGGACAGGCGGAAACCTTGGCTGTCTTTTCTGTGACTAAAATACAATTGTATTTTTCTATGATCTAAAAAGTATATTTTTTTCATAACTATTTTATTATCAGATGTAACTCATAACAAGGATGACCCAACGAGTCATTCTCATCAGATTATCTGGTTTTACTACTAAGACCAACGCTTTCCATATGTACGGTTCTTTCCCTTTTACAAGCTGTCTTCACATATGGTCATTTGTTTGGATAATATCCAAGGCGAGGTAAGTCTTAGTATCTCCATTCTATAGAGAAGGAGAATGCAGCTCAGAGAGGCTGACTGACATGCCCAAGGTCACAGAGCTAGAAAGTGAGACTGGGATTAAAACCTACATTTTCAGACTCTTAGGTCAGTCTTTCTAACGTGTTTCTGAAGATTTTGAGGGGTATTCAGAAAAATATTTCCTGGATGAAATAGATCTCACTCCTCCCCTCTCGCTGTTCTCCATTTGGAAAACTTTTTACCTTAAAGATCAAGATAAAGTTAAAACAAACAAACAAACTTTCCACAAGTGCAAAAGTAAAATTTCTTAACAAGTAGGAAAAATTGAGGACAGATATATGGATCCATCAATGAAACAACAACTCATTAGACGGGCCTGTCAGGGAGTGAAAAGGGGCCCACACAAATTCTTCTCACTGTGACGACAATAGAGTTGGGGGGGGGGGCCATAGGCCTCAATCGCATGCAGAGTTGAGAGCCCTGGGGACCCTGTCACTGCCTCCTCCCCAGCCTGTGTGCAATGGAAAGGGCTGTAGGGCTCCCCTCCTGTGTCCCCATTTCCTAATGGAAGGCATCTGCCCCTCTCGGGCCTCTGAACAGAAGTAGGTGACCCAAGCCGTAGGTGGACAAGCCACCTTTAGACTCTGTCCTCCTCAGCTAGCAAAACATGGTAGAAATGCTCATACGCCTTGCCTGTGGTGGCCTCAGTGGGAGTCTGGGTGCACTTTCTTGTTTTCAGCCACATTTTTATGGCTCTGAAACTCATCAGTGGGTGGCAGTGTGCCAGAAAATGAGTAAAATGGGACCAACCTTGCCATGTAAACAAACACGTGAACCATGATAAAAGGGAAATCTATTTTCTTATTCAAATTCACCCTGAAGTCAATCAAGGCAAAGGACTTGCCCAGGGGCAAGCAGCTAACTGCTGACAGAGGCCAGGCCAAAGACAACCTGGGTCTCTGGATGCTTGGAGAGAAGCCCAGCGCCCTGAGGAGCCCAGCACCAAACATTTCACTCACCCCACATGATGTCGGCCTCGGCCAAAGAAAACAAGAGCCAAGATGCAGAAATCGGCAGAGGGTCCTCACGCGCCTTTCCAAGACTGGTTGGTGGCACTCAGAGCCGTTTTTGGAACTCCTTCTGAAGCCGGAGCCCTGCAGAGAAACACGCCCGGAGTGAGTAAACAAACAGGGCTTAAAAAACTGCGTGTCGGAATCCACCCTGAATCCACACGTCGAGTCAGAAGAATTTTACACTGCCCCACCCCGCCTTAGGAAAGGACATAGAAGGACAGTGAGAGCTCTGTGTTGGCAAGGAAGTTGCCCTGTGGGGAGCAGGGACAACAGGATAAAACTCTTCAGGGGCCCCTGGAATTCTGAGAGGGCGATCCTGTGTGCAACATTGGTCACTGGTTATGGCAAGAGGCTGACAGTCCCTGGTCAAACCATAACCGGGATGGCATGAGCGTCTGCAGAAACACAGCAGACTGGCAGAATATCATTCTGTCCTCGGAGCAGGCAGGGTCCCCCACCTTCAGTAGCTGCCTGTTTGGGGTAGGCTTTCTACATATAAAAATGTCAGGGGCTGGGCAGAGGGCAGGGAGGGACAGGAGGGGGACACCCAGTGCCTGACCCCATGCACGACAAGGCCTTGCAACCCCACCGGGCCAGAGTGCACAGTCCACATCGGGTAAGAAGGCCCCTCCCCACCTGACTTGCCCCAAATATGAGAAGAGAGGTGGGGCAGGACAACTCCTTGTTATGGTGGCAGACAAGTGTCTGTAGCTGGGAGCCATGGAGTCCTGTGCCGCAGATGGCAAAGCCACCCAGCCACCTGTCCCAAGCTCCTGTGACAGGAGGAGTCTGCTTTGCCCCGTTCCCAAAGGCCAGCACCACCCAGACCACTGGGGGCTCCCACTATGTCAGCAAATGAAGAAAGTCTGAAACTGGGACAAATTGTCATCTACTTTACAGCTTTACTTTTAACAGAGAAGCACAGCGCATAAACAGTTACACTAGCCACAGACTAACTATAAGCTTTGCCAGACCTTCTTTCATGGTACACTGCGGTGTGGCCTGGTGTTGGATCTTGCACAGCTGGCTATCCTTCTGGGACCTTCTGGCAGCCTTGTTCGGAGGGAGCACCGAAAGTCTAGGTCTGCGCCCGGGCCATGCCTTTCCTGGCCTTCCCTTTTGGGATCTTATGTTTCCTCCACAAACAGCTAAGTTCAAGTTCCCCGGAATCTGGCTCTGGGATGGGAGAAGCAGAAATAACTCCAGCTTCTATATAATGCTGAGCATTCGTCTAAAATCACTTCCTTGACGTTTTGCTACCTGAGAACATAACCCACATCTGATGAGCCTTTGTTTTCATTTTCGGCGTAAGCACGTGGTATCCACCTTATCCAGCCTCCAGGTCGCTCTGTCCTCCCATTCCTGGTCCAGTTCCTGAGAGGAGACTGAACTGCGCTCACCCCAGGCCACAGGATCCCCTTGAAGTCTGCTCTGCGGCCCCACACCCACCCCATCTGGAAATTACCAAGTCCTTATGGACTTTGCTCTTTATTCGTTCACAAAGAATGTAAGATTCCATTTTTCAGGAACTGAATAGAAGCCCCCTCCTCGCCATATCAGGGCGGCTGTTCCACGCCAACTCAGTAATTGCCCCGTTTCTAGTGCCTTTTTTCCCTCCACCAAAACCAACTTAAGCTGATTACCGCCATCTCAGACAACCTCGCTGGGCTCTAGATAGATCCATTTAATATGGCCGAGACAAGCAGCCAACTGCTGTTTCCAAAAGACGATCTGACAGATTCTATTCACTTTCAAAGTAGCTCTCCACGGCTGGAATAATTATCTTTCATTCCCCTCATTCTGACACATTTCAATGATTTGTTGACATCTGAAGAGTTATGGGCAATCTTAGAAGAGACAGCCGGACTTTCCAGCCCCAAAGACACACATACAGAAAGGATTCCCATACAGCGTCTGAAATAACTCTGTTCTTTGCAAATGGACACCCAAATCTGCATGTTAATAGGGACACTTTTATCTTCAAATATAACCTCAAAAAGAGAAAGGGAAGCGGTATTCATTTAACTGGTTCACTGCCAGCTCAAGAGAAAGCGCACCTTTCCCTCGCAACCCAGGTTCCCTCGCTTGGCTGATAAAAACAAAAGAATGTCAAGATCTTGAGTTTTCAAACATCGAATGTTTGGTGTCGTCCTCTCTTGAGAGAGTACAGCAGCAGAAACCCAAGCAAATAGCCAGAGGCCTCGACTGTTTCATCTGCGGCCAATGGGGTTTGAAGTGAGCATCAGTGTGATAACGACTATTAATAATTTGCACTTCTATAGCCTCTTTTTGAGGGCCTCTCTAAGTGCCTTCCCAAGGCACACAGGTTTCGGCCTGCAGCAAAGGAGCTCGCCAAGGAGGAGCCTCCCGCCTTGGGTCACAGCTCCTGGTCCTGTCTCAGGGCAAGGAGGCAGGCTGTCTACAAGACCCAGATTAACTGGGGACCAGGGAGTTTTCAAAAGACGATGTGTATAACACGTATTATCCAAGTACAAGTATAGGTCCCATCACAAGTAGGATAAAGATGCAATGCCAATGTCTTTCGACTCTTGCCTCTCTCTTTTTTGCTTTCTTCCTCTCCCGATTTGAGAACTTCGGTCAACAATTTTAGTAATCTATCAAGTCAAGCGCTTGGTAGATTTCCACATAGGGGGCCAGCGGCAGAAAGTGCAGGAAAGGACCATTTTCGCCCCTGAGAGTTCTCGGCTAAATAAACATAAAGGCAGGAGAAAAGAGAAGGGGAGCAAGGAGGCTGACGTTTACAGCCTGGATGCAATCAGAGCAAGCCGGAATGGAGCCCTCCACACTGTTGGGGATCAAGAGGTGGCTGGACCAGGGGAGAGGGACAGCGAGGGAGGACTCAGCAGGGTAAACTGCCGTGGGGATGGGTTCCGCTTCAGAGAGCCCACAGCAGTGAGACCGCTGAAGCTGAAGCACTTGTTTCAGTTTTCCGGCTCGAATCAGATCACCCCCCAAGAGGGAAGCCTCTAAGGACCGCAGAACACAGAAAACATCCGCTGGTCACTTCTCTTCCCCGCCTTCCAGCCCCAGTGTATCAATCAACAGCGCCCCTTACTGGCCTGTGAGTTGTAAGTCGAGCCGGCTCCGGGCTCCTCCCCAAACCGAGGGCAACCTGGAAATTGACATATTTGTTTCATCTCTATTTATAGCGTTTTGAGCACAAGGGGAATAGCCGCTGTTGAAATCCCAGCTTAAGGCTCCTGCCTACCCCTCTGTCTTGAACTGTGGTCTCTGCAAAATCAGGTTTATCTGCAGGACTTTTATCATCAGGGGAGCTGTTTCTCCCAGGAGACCAATAACCACAAACACTGTGTGATCACAGCAGATCCAAGCATCAAGAAGCCTCCATCAACATCCAACATCGTGACGGGAGAACCCGTGTTCCCCGTGAGCAGGATGGATTTGAATGCTAAGTGGTTGATGTCAGAGGGCAGTCATTAAAAACTAAGGAGGGACTGGCACCTTGCTCAAGTTCTCCAAAGGAACCCTTCGGATTAAAGTGCACGGGCTTTGTTAGCAACACACAGTGGGTCAGCTGATCACAGGAGAGGGGTGGCATCTGGCGAGGCAGCAGCTGGGCAGGCGTGGGGAAGGCTGGCCTGGGTTATTTCAGGTGAGGGGGTTGGCACACAGGGAGATGAGAGGTGGAGAGAGTTTATTTTGGTTGAGGAGCTTTATTTTGCTTTCTTGCTTGTGAGGATTCATTCCTCTTGGGTAATTTAAAGTTTGTAAAGAACCCTGGAATTCCTTAGAGCGAAAGCGCCATCGCAGATAAAATAAAGCAGTCAACAATGCTGGTGTTGGTGGAGAAGAGGGCCAGTGCCCTGGCTGCAGACTCGTAGGTCTTTAGTTGACGCGGTTAGGTAAGGCTTTAGGCATTTTTAAAAAGCTGCTTCTCATAAGTCCAGGTCTTGTTTAGGGACTTGTTATATGTTTGTTTGGCTAGTATTTATTGTTCGGGGCACCAGCTATTGTTTTCCATGTGTTAATTCATTTAATTCTCACGACAAACCAAATGCATTAATTAATTCTGAATCCCCGGGTTTAATCAAAAGAATAGTATAATAGCCCACCACCCTCCTCCTTGGAAACAGAGGGTTAGTCTAGCTCATTGCTCGGAGTCAGGCTTCTTAATCCCTCCCAGTGCCATAGGCAGCATAGTGAACCCCGTCTAGGAGGCAGCCGTGGCTCCCCGTGCTTGCTCCATCAAGTCTGATTTCCTCCACCTTCCTCAAGAAACATTTTATAACACTCTACTCCTGCCTCCTCTTCTTCCAGCTTCTCCCCGACTTCTCCAAACCAATCTATAACCCCAGGAGTGGGTCCGGTGTCTTTGCTGGGAGAAGGACGATGTTCCATGATCAAATCGTCTTGCTATTATGTAGTAAAACACATTGAACGCCGTGGAGTATACACACTGCCTTTTGCTTCAACTTTGAGTGGCGTTTTCCAACACATGCAGAGTCTGTAGGTAGGTGCTGGTCTGGGAGCGGCTTCTCCAGTCCACCTGCTTCTGCTTCCCCGATAGGCGTGGACATAGCCTCCGTTCTAGACTCTTGCCAAACACCATAATATCATCTGCTTAAGAGGAAGAAGAGAAAACTAAAAATGTGTCTAACACTGGGAAATAAGGCAAAGGGGGACTGTCCTTCAAGGCCAGGCTGGAACTCTAATGCCCACCCCCGGTTGTCACATTCTCTAGAGGATGTGCCTTTGCTCGATTATTCATTACTGAGTAGTGCCCAGATTCTGATGCTGCATGTTAACTTGGAGATTCTAATAAATATTTTTTCTTTTTATTTTGAAATAATTTCACAATTATGCAAAAGTTGCAAGCGTAGTACGAAGAATTTTCTTTCCTAAGTTATTTGAGAATAAGTTGCTGACATGATGTCTCATTACCCTAAAATACTTCAGTGTGTATTTCCTACAAACCAAGACATTCTTTGTCATAATCAAAATACAACCATCAAAGTGAGGAAAGTAACACTGGTACATACTACCGTCTAGTCCTCAAATACCATTCAGTTTTCTCCAGTTGGTTCAATAATGTCTTTTAT